AAGAGGTCGTGCTCAAGCACAGGGTACATTTCTTATTGATTTCTCTGGGAGAAGCGTAAACTTCTAGGTAGTTATCGGTTTGGCTAAATTTCGTACACTAGCTCTTCCTTTTTTCAAGCCTGTGATTCAATAAGCATACAATGGATATGGAAGCCTTACAATGATTTCTGTATAGCAAACATAAGCTCTCTAATGCTATTTAACATTATGTGAGAAGCCTGGATTTCGTGGAAAAATTCCTATTCAAACAGGAACGACACTACTCATCGGCAACCTATTACTAGCAACTTACGATTAGTGATCACTCCATTTTGGCACATTTTGTAAGAGTGGAAAAGCTGAGTGTTCTTGGAGGTGATCCACTAGAGTAAGGATATGAATTGGAAACCTCATAATTTTAATGGCACCGTACCGCTGGCGGTCATCAAAGCGACTCCGCTTCAACATTGACAAGAAACTCTTCTAGTGAAAACAATAAATTTCATCAAAACAGTGATCATTACATTCAAATGGTGACCTATAGTGGTCCATCAACAGCATTGACATCAGCACAGAAAAATTCCGAATATCCGCGTGGAGGCGTAATAATGTACGCCGCACACGAACACAACACACTTTCAAAAAACAACTTTTTTATCCACGAGACCATCCACGAAAAAAAAAGGGTTTCGCAAAGCACCCATCCAAAAAGACTCGTCAGTTGTTCTGTAGGCTGAATCCGATTAATATAATCCGAATATGATGGTGATACACAAAAGTAGGTAAACTTCCTTGAAGCAGCAATGGTCGTGCTAGCGAAAAGCTGTCTTAATGCTGGGGCGCTCACTTGAGCGGCGGCGCTTTGTGTCATGACATCCACAAAGTTCGGCGCACAATACCCTTCTACCTCACACGGAAATATTAGTGAATATAGAGTTGAAGGGGCGGAAGTGGTGTAGTGGCAAGTGGCACGCTTACCACGCGAGCGGTCCGGGGATCAAATCCTGGGTCGTGAGTCGCCCGGGCCAACCTTCCATCCCTCCGGGGTCGGTTAATTGGTACCAGACTTGTCTGGGAGGATAAAAACACTGACTTGTACATCGGCTGGCCCCCGCAAGTCATTGTATAGGCCACATCGCATTCAAACGCCACTACGAATGTACAAATGGAAGTAGAATGCGTGCCGCATCCCAAAAAGGGATTGATCAACGGCAAATGCTTTATCCTTTACCCCTTATCGAGTTGAAAACTGACTGTTCGAGCAGTTTTATACGAGGCCTGATTCTTGCAGATCACTGCACTGATTTGTACACAAACTTAAGTATGGGAGCGCAAGCACTTGTTCCATACTCCAATATTTTTCCATCGATCTTCATACTGTTTAGAGAAGCGGTTGCACTGATGGCTCAATTGTGCCAGAAGGGGTTCAAGGACTCAGAGTGTCTACGTAATCTTCCCGTGACTCTCACTAAGTTACGCCACGGGCACTCTGCGTCTAGCTCGGCTCTACGCTATCTCGTTCATCGTCGCCTCTTTACGCGTGATGGCTCTCAATTTTTCTCTTGGTCACCTCAAACAATCTTCTCAAAATTCACGCTGGAAAGGCAACCCATTTCAAATTAACTTAGGGATGGTGAGTGGTACACGAAAGAAGGAAAAACCATGAGAAACGGCCCAGAACCCGAGAAATGGGACCCCTTCCTTGCCCGTTGATTTGAGCATTGATGCGACTCTCATCGCTGTGCCCTCTTCAACACTACGCTCTCTCTGCTATCTAATCACTCACGTATAGACTGCGGCGAGTGATCAGATGATCGGTGGGCGGAGATCGCCGGACCCGCCAGCTTTGAGGCATAATAGGTCGGTTCGTATAACATAGTATACCTTACATTCTTCGCTCGACCTCCATTCTAATCGTGAATTCCTCCTTTAATGAAATACAAAAGGAGCGATCTCTCTCCGTTCAAGAAATGATGTACACCGCTAGATGTGCCTTTAAACGCTGATCTCAAATCACCTTCCAAAAATCTGCTGATTCTCTGAAGGGAGTTATGAAGCAAACAGCGCAACGGTAGTGATCGGGATTTGCAGTCAAAACGTCGTAGGATCGGCCCCTGATCGCGTCTACTGTTTTGCCTTCTTCAGGAGTACAGCTAAAAGGCTTTAATAGCCTATTTAGCCTAATTCCTGAAGAACAAGACAGTAAACGCGATCAGGGGCCGATCCTACGACGTTTTGACTGCAAATCCCGACCACTACCGTTGCGCTGTTTTGCTTCATAACTCCGTTCAGAGAATCGTTTAGCAGATTTGGAAGGTAGATTTGAGATCAGCGTTCAAAGGCACATCTAGTGGTATACATCTCTTCTTGAATGGCCATGGCGACCTGAGAGCCTTTCCTTGTTAGTTTTTTCTTTCAGCACGGACCAATTGGTAAGTCTCATGTTCGGATACCATCCACCTCTTCGACGTCATAGAATGTGTCATTGGCCGAAGTGTTTAAGGGTGGTGAAATCCTGGATTAGATTGCTATCGTGCACATACCGCCTTTACGCGACTTCCGAGAGCTGTTATTGGCTTTATGGGAGGAGCGTGGACCCAACCAAGATCCACATTGCTATCCGTCCTTATCTTGATAGAACGCTAGTCTCGCTGTGAGCATTGTCGGGTCTACTATGACGAGAATTGATTACGTAATACTGCAGCCATTTCCTTATTGCTGCGGTGTCATTTGATATGATCATAGTTCTTGGAGCGGCTAAAACATAGCAACCCCCTTTGAAGCTGTTGGAGAATTGCTATCGAGTAATGTTACGGAATTTCAAGCTAATCCTATGACAGCGACACGACAGTCGGCGTAAATCTGTGCTTTCGATCAGATAACACACAGGATTCTTTCGTGGGAAAACATTCCTGTAAACAACCGGACTGACTGCCTCGTTAGTCACAGTTCTAAACCATGGCCAGCTGGCGAAAAGAAAGTGCCCGGAAGGATTACGCTGACTACGAGCATGAGGGCCCTGAAGACTACAGTGGACTAGAAGGTGACGGATCCTATGCTGCGAACCGAGAGACCTCCGCGTAAGCTACAAAGAGGTGTTGATGAGTGTTGCGCAGCGGGAGAGCGCAGTGTTCGTCTGTCTGTTCGCAAATCAAGTCATTTCGCTCGTGCTGTTGTTATCTCAATTACGTGGCACTTGACGCACGCTCAGCTAACTATGCATTACCAGTTTTGGACGTTCCTTCAGCCGGTTTCGTGAGCATCCTTAAAAGGCGTCGGCCTCCTGCGCTCCCCTACCGCTCCCTCCGCGCACACCGTAACATGGACCTTCAAACGAGGGTCAAAGCATATCGCTTTGTTGCCTACTCGGCTGTGGCATTCTCAGTCGTCGCTGTACTCTCTGTATGCATTACCTTGCCAATGGTCTACAAGTACGTGCATCATGTAAAGCGACACATGCAAAACGAAATAATCTCTTGTAGGGTTAGTTCTCCTACTTGCTTGTGTGAACCGTTCCTTTGAGTTCGTTCTACCGCCAACCGTTTCAGGGCTCTGCCAAGGATATTTGGTCCGAAGTGCGTACTTTAAGGATCGCAGCTCAACCTGAATCCAACAGAACTGCTCGTCAGGCTGGCTATGGCGATGCTGAAGTACACACCAACACCAACAAGGGGTCGCGTGGTGGTTGTGAATCTTGCTGCATTAAAGGAGCTGCGGGTCCTGGAGGTGTCCCTGGAGCACCTGGAAAACCTGGTAGACCTGGAGCACCGGGCACACCAGGCAACCCTGGAAAGCCTCCTGTTCAACCATGCAACCCTATCACTCCACCCCCTTGCAAGCCTTGTCCCCAGGGACCACCAGGCCCACCGGGTCCACCTGGACCGTCAGGAGACGCAGGTGCTCCTGGAAAGCCTGGAAATGCAGGAACTGAAGCTGCATCAGGAGCACCCGGCCCAAAGGACCACCTGGACTGCCCGGTGGAGATGGTAAACCAGGAGCGAATGGCGAAGCCGGCGCTCCGGCTGAGTCCGTGCCTCTGGTTCCAGGAGAACCCGGACCTGCCGGATCACCTGGTCCAGCAGGAGAGCCTGGACCAAATGGACAACCAGGAGATGCCGGGGCACCTGGACCTGCTGGTCCCAAAGGGCCTTCCGGATCACCAGGCACACCTGGAGCTGATGGTAACTCTGGAGCGCCTGGTCAAGCTGGTACAGCAGGATCACAAGGAGAAAAAGGAATTTGTCCAAAATATTGCGCTATCGATGGTGGAGTGTTTTTCGAGGACGGAACTCGACGATAGATTCCTGATCAATACGCCAATAAATCTTTACATAGCATGATGTAGCACACCATTTGGGAATTCTACACACAGCCATAGCACTCGCTAGACATACTTTAACGTGGTTAGCTAGTAAGATCAAATTCTGACCAATTACGTAGAACATTGTATGTCTCTCATGGAGGGTTAGAAAGCCTCAATCGGTTTATTGGTAGCGGGGAACGCGCGTTAAGAAGCTAGTGAATAAGATGAAATAGACTTGATGGACTTGCAAAAACGGGGTGGCTTAGCGCATCAGTTCCCAATGTTCCTCACTGGTAGCACCAAACGTCTGCTCTTCTGGGGCGAGCCACTAACAGTGAATCAAAGCGCGAATTTAATGAACCCTCTGTTATACCAAAACCCCGCTACTTATCAGCCAATCTTCTATCCTCCACGCTCACCATCTTTCTTCAGTATTCCTATTATAAAAAAGCGCTGTGCGTGTAGCATGTGTGTCACGAAATTCATAGCACGCGTCCTAACAGCAGTAAGGCGTTGGCTCCAATAAGTGATGAGAAGCTGGGACAGCCACATCTTCGGTGGAAGTCAGAACATGAGAATAGCTTATAAGGAGTGATAACAACGAATGCATACGAACCTAGAGATCACCTTAACTAGGTTATAGAAAAAAAAATATGAACATCATTTCATTTACCACCATCGCCAACGACCATCTCAACCGTTGCACTTCTTAGAGTCTCTAAAAATGTATGATAGGTATTGGAACGAAATACGATAATGACTACTGGGTATTTCTATTTGAACATCGTTAGCACCAAATATTATTAAAAAAATCCTACTATATATAATTGGCTAAGTGTTTCTGTTGGTGTGTATGCGTGTTGTGTCTGTCTGACCGGAAATTCATAGCTCGGGCACCAGTGGTCGTAGGAGTTGGTTTCAAGATATGATATAGGGGGTGGGACGGGAACATATTTGGTGGGGTAAAGAAAGTGATCACAACTGATAAGGGCTGATAAAGGGCGCTAGAACGCAAAATTCACGAAATCATGGCGCGACACAGTAGCAGCGAAGCGTTGTCTTTCGAATATGCGTCGCGCAATTTGCCGCGCGCCTTCCCGGACGAGCCAAAAGTCCGTCGTCCTTGTACGTGGGGGATATGAAGCAGAAGAGCCCACAGCTGAGCGGTGCAGAAACTGGGCACAGGGTCACAGGATGGTTCTTTTCTTCTGCGGGTTTACTCCGTGGTTTTTGTGCACAGATCTTCTGGTAGAATTCCTTACCATGTCAGTTTATTGTAGATTGCCTTTAATAACGCGTAAGATGAAGTTGCGACGATTTCCTGGCACATACTTACTTAGTCTGCTACTATGCCGCGTACCAGTGATGTTCCAGGCGCTTGCGCTTACTAATGAGGCAGATATTATGTGGCCCGGTCGTCAATTTCACTTTTAGGGGACGTTCCTGGAATAAATTCAAGTGTTTCGAACCAAACTTGGAGGGCGTGGGGGCAGCCATCAACCTATTAACCGCTTGAACGAAATAGCATGCACCCGTAGGTGCCACTATATTCGCCGCGTGGGACAATGGCACCCAATGGTGGGTGCCCTTAAAATTTCCTTCTTTGCGCATTTAAAACATTTGTAACACCCAATAATTATAAGCAAGTTCCATAATATCTATGGCTAGCACGACTTACAGAAATGTTTATTAAGAGCTAATTTATATAGAATTTTAGAATGTGCCATTTAGCTCGCCAGCATATTAATTGGGGTTTTGCATTATTAGGCTGAAGATTAATTACTAATCAGGACTTCTTCGTCTTCTCATAGCCCTCAGATATGGGAAGGGGTTTGAAGTGTATCGAAAATTCTCTTGGACACTTAAACTTTTAGAGGTTTTGCCCTCCTTCCCTTGAAACCCGAGTTCCCCTTCCAAATTTGGAATTCTCTTGAAAACAATATACAGTATGAAAGCCTAGAACTGCAGTTATATCTGGTATACTGTTAAAGTCAAAAATTCTATAGAAAAACTGCTTTGAGGGACAATTTTGCCCAATTGTGAGCGAGAGTTGGGCGCGCCAAAAAGAGGCGTGGTCCCATGAGCAAGCTACGTGCAAATCCGCATTGTCGTCAAAGGGTTAACATACATATTAGCAAGTGCTCATGTTGGCACGGAATTAGATTTTCAGGTGTGCCTTTGAAAAGTAAGGAAGTTTCTGACCTATTTGGTGGCTCCAGATTCACATGACATTTTTTTCGCATACGATTGCTTGCCTTCGTCCGTGATTGGTCAGCCCCATGTTACAGACTGACCATAATAACAGTGACAGCCTCGCTTCTTCAAAATAGATCAAGTTCTCAGTTTCGGCTTTGTGATTCCCTTGACAGTCGTAGTATGGGTTGGGAATGTTTGCACCAACCGATATCACACCTGCTCAGAAGCACGAAGTGATATCGGTTGGTGCAAACACTCCCAACCCATACTACGACTGTCAAGGGAATCATGAGCAAATGCTACCGCAACAACTTGGGCTTTACCAATGACTTCACAAACTCAATCTGGCCCAGAGTCCCAGCTAATAAGGAAAGAGGGTATTTCTAAGTGGTCATCCAAAATGAGATGTGGAACTCAAAAGTCTTTGGCGGAATACTTTTTCGGCTGTTAATAAAAAATAAAAGCCAGATCAGACCGCTTCGAATTTTAATATGTTTTGAAGGCACTGAACTGGCGCATAAGTGTTTAATGGGAGAAAGAGTTGAAAATGAAAAAGAAAAACATTTCACTAGAAATTTTGAGCGTGACTAAATCCCAAGTAACTTCCAAATTATTGTAAAACTTACAATTCAACAAATAGTTGACCGCATGATAAAAAATTAAAGGAATCCTCCACGGAAAAAGCTCCGCCCTCATTACCACAGAAAACGATACCTTAAAGGAATCTTCCACGGAAAGAGTGATCATTTTGTCTTGTGTGTAGGATTAGTATTATCGAAC